AGGCTAGGACAGAAAATTAAGTTTGATTTGGGTATGTCGTAGGAATAAATCTGGTGTAAAGAAGAGCTTGAATAGGTTGTTTGAAAAAACTGCGACAATAGATCATTATTTGCGGAAGTATTTTCAAATGAAAGCGAGAAAGGATTTGTTTTAGGCTTACGTTTAGTGTTAACGAAATTATAAAACTGTTTTGGGTCCTGTGAGAACTGGGCCCTACAACGAGTTAAATAGTTTTTACAACTCTCCGCGTTCAGCACGGTAAAGATTGACCGAGCTGATAAATAAGATGAAAGGGCAGATTGAGAATCGGTGAATTTAAAGTTAGTCTAGATTTTTTATTCTTAAGTCGGAGCACATTCAGCAAAAAATGAATTCATGGCACTGTAAAAAATATCCACGGCAACTGCCATGTCAGTGCACATGTATAGATCGGACCAATTGAACTCGTTTATAAAATTATTCAGTCGTTCAAAGAACGTCTTACGAAAGCAAAGGACTTTATTGGCTAGACGGTCAGAAATATTCTGTACGAAACACCCGATATCAAGGGTCACATCGAAAGTTGGATAATAAGGATCTTCGGGCTGCGTCAGAGGCGCCACCCTTGCTAAACTGACTCTCGCAGGATCAGAGACGAAACGAAGATCAAGCAAGCACTGTAAAGAATTTCGCACATGGTTGACTTGAGACAGCGAAATGACAAACAATCTAGCGATAAAGTCATGTTTTGTAGGTGTATGGAGAGTATTGGTGGAATTATTTGAGCTCCAAATAGCACCGGGGATATTAAAATCTCCTAGAACTACCAACTGGTTTCTATCCAAAAGTCTACTGGAAACCTTCTGAATAGCGGAAAGGTGATTCCAATAAATAAGAAGTTCCGACAGAGGATGTATGTAGGAACAGGTACAAATCATTATAAAAGGTTCATGCAATTCAAAGGGGTTTCTACAGTGGTGCAATACTAAAGAAATAAAGGATCAAGTATTTCTAATTGGTGCGTGGAAATTGAGCTGACTCAACAAGTCAGCACTTTCCACTTCACCATGAATGAGATTATAGAAAAAGGTAATGCCAAGCACAGTTCTATGGTTGGCTAAGGATGGTAAGTTAATTAGGAGGAGTCTATTAATCCCGAAAAAAGTTCTTTTGAACCGACTTTATGCATTTACTATGCACGCCGTACTGAGGGCTCCAAACGCAGCATCCATATTCTAAGATAGGACGAACTAAAAAGGTATAAGGATTAAGTAACATAGGGGTCATTGAATTCCTTCGACCACCGTTTAATAAATCCAAGCACACCCCTGGCTCTATTCACCATAGACGAAATATGATCAATAAAGTCAAGTTTTGGGTACAAGCAGACGCCCAAATCGTCAACAGAATTAATTCTTTCCAAAGAGCAGCAATTCAGCGTGTAAGTAGCAAGCTTAGGAACGACACGTGAGAATGTCATTGGCTTGCATTTCGAGCCATTTAAGTTTAATAAGTTTACACGGCACCAACTTTGAAAATTATTAAGATCTGTTTGTAAATCCGACTGGCAGGCAACGTCACTGTATTGCACGCAAAGCTTGACGTCATCCGCGTACATAAGTACTCTGGAGTTAGTCAAGACTTTGGGCAGGTCATTTATAAATAATGTAAACAATAAGGGTCCCAAATGGCTTCCTTGCGGGACGCCAGATGTAACCCTTAAAACATTGGATAAATTATTCTTAAAGAGGACCTTTTGCGTCCTGCCATTCAAATAACTTGAGATCCAATTAAGAAGATCACTTGGAAAACCCATTGAATCGAGTTTTCTAACGAGGAGAGTATGGTTAACAGAGTCAAATGCTTTACTGAAATCAGTATAGATAACATCTGTCTGACAATTATTATGGAAGCCCTGTATAATATAGGAAGAGAGCTCCAAAAGATTTGTTGTTGTTGATCTTTGCTTCATAAAACCATGTTGACATGGAGAAATAACCGATCTACAAAGGTGCTGTAAGTGAGGGGTGATAATGTTTTCAAATAATTTAGGGATGGCCGACAACTTAGAGATTCCTCTATAATTGCTGGCATCCAATTTGCTACCTTTTTTGTGGAGAGAAATAAAAAACGATTCCTTCCAAATAATGGGAAAGTGGAAGGTTTCTAAGGACAAGGTAAACAATTTCAGAAGGGGATAGCACAGGGCGTCGGCACAATACCTGAGCACACAGCCAGGAATTCCGTAGGGACCTGGCGAATAAACTGGCTTGACACGATGAAGATCTAAAAGGAGAGAGCTTTCGTTTAGGCTAGGACAGAAAATTAAGTTTGATTTGGGTATGTCGTAGGAATAAATCTGGTGTAAAGAAGAGCTTGAATAGGTTGTTTGAAAAAACTGCGACAATAGATCATTATTTGCGGAAGTATTTTCAAATGAAAGCGAGAAAGGATTTGTTTTAGGCTTACGTTTAGTGTTAACGAAATTATAAAACTGTTTTGGGTCCTGTGAGAACTGGGCCCTACAACGAGTTAAATAGTTTTTACAACTCTCCGCGTTCAGCACGGTAAAGATTGACCGAGCTGATAAATAAGATGAAAGGGCAGATTGAGAATCGGTGAATTTAAAGTTAGTCTAGATTTTTTATTCTTAAGTCGGAGCACATTCAGCAAAAAATGAATTCATGGCACTGTAAAAAATATCCACGGCAACTGCCATGTCAGTGCACATGTATAGATCGGACCAATTGAACTCGTTTATAAAATTATTCAGTCGTTCAAAGAACGTCTTACGAAAGCAAAGGACTTTATTGGCTAGACGGTCAGAAATATTCTGTACGACACACCCGATATCAAGGGTCACATCGAAAGTTGGATAATAAGGATCTTCGGGCTGCGTCAGAGGCGCCACCCTTGCTAAACTGCGCTGTAAAGAATTTCGCACATGGTTGACTTGAGACAGCGAAATGACAAACAATCTAGCGATAAAGTCATGTTTTGTAGGTGTATGGAGAGTATTGGTGGAATTATTTGAGCTCCAAATAGCACCGGGGATATTAAAATCTCCTAGAACTACCAACTGGTTTCTATCCAAAAGTCTACTGGAAACCATCTGAATAGCGGAAAGGTGATTCCAATAAATAAGAAGTTCCGACAGAGGATGTATGTAGGAACAGGTACAAATCATTATAAAAGGTTCATGCAATTCAAAGGGGTTTCTACAGTGGTGCAATATGTTACGGAACTGCTTTCTTGGGCAACGCCGGGCTAGCTCAGGAGGCCCAGGGCTGGGTTCGACCCAATGCCCGCAGTCCGCACAATAAAATATCGGACAATTCGGACTCTCATCACTGGCAAAACTACCATCCCTAAACACAAAACAAAAGTAAACAAACGACAAATATACACTGACGACACTGCCGGAACAAATTGGTGGCATTGGTGTTATCGCCACAACGCACCCACCCATCCTGTGATGCCTCCTGAGTGTCTCGGGGCATCACCCATCTCCGGCGGACCGGAGCCTATTCCAGGCGGTCTGGCGACCGGCCCATCTCCCCCCAGGTATTTACTCTACTCCATTTTTATACCCTTGCAGGGTATTATAATTTCAGTCAGAAGTTTGCAACGCAGTGAAGGAGGCACCTCCGACTATATAAAGTATATATATTCTTGATCAGGATCAACAGCCGAGTCGATCTAGCCATGTCCGTCTGTCCGTCTGTCCGTTTCTACGCAAACTAGTCTCTCAGTTTTGAAGCTATCTGAATGAAACTTTGCAGTTAGTCTTCTATATACTCTCACTCGTATATATGTCGGAACGGGCCGGATCGGACAACTATATCATATAGCTGTCATAGGAATGATCGGAAAAGTTTTACAAAAAAAATTATAAAATTTTTAGTTTTCAACAGAATTTGATCAAATTTGAGATATAGCCATATTATTCTACAATTTTGTGTAAAATTTTATGAAAATCGGACGACTATATCATATAGCTCCCATAGGAACGATCGAGAAATTAATTCAATTAATAAGTATAACATTTTCAGTTTTCAACAGATTTTCATCAAATTTGAGATATAGCCGTTTCATATTATTCTACAATTTTGTGTAAAATTTTATGAAAATCGGACTAATATATCATATAGCTCCCATAGGAACGATCGAGAAATTTAAGAGGAATGAGAATGGCGGTGGCTGTTGTCGGAAGACTGACAATCGCGGTGGCGATAACATTTTTAGTTTTCAACAGAATTTAATCAAATTTGAGATATAGCCATTTCATATTATTCTAAAATTTTGTGTAAAATTTTATGAAAATCAAACGACTATATCATATAGCTCCCATAGGAACGATCGAGAAATTAATACAATTAAATTTATAACTTTTTTAGTTTTCAGCTGATTTTCATCAAATTTGAGGTATAGCCATTTTATATAAGTCTTAAATTTTGTGGCAAATTTCATAAAAATCGGACGACTATATCATATAGGTGCCATACAAACGATCGTTTGATGTAGAGGAAAAATGCAAATCTGTGGCTGTAAAACTGCAAATATAATATGTATAGGTGAATGAAATGAAAGCAGGTATTACTTCATTGTATTTTAACACAAATATATATAATTTATATTGTATGGATTCCTATTCATAGAAGTTCTATCTGCAAGGGTATATAAACTTCGGCGTGCCGAAGTTAGCTTCCTTTCTTGTTATTTGTATTATTTATTTTATATAAACGTTCCTTGTAATATTAATATCTCCTTTTATAGGTGGTATTTCTCCACTCCCGGCGAGAGCGTGGCCCTAGCCAGGGATGCGCTTGCGCCAAGGCTGCGATGTTGGGGGACTTAAGAAGCTAGCGGAGGAGAAGCACCTTAAAACATTTGGCCTCAAACGGCCCCACGACAATTACTCCCTCTTTAGGGTCCCTAATCCCTGCTGGAGCTCCAAGAGAAATCTAGGGACAGGGGTTCACGACCAAAAGAAAACAAAACAAAAGGTCAAGGAAACACCATTACCGGGCTTCTTCCCCGTTCCCCCCTTTGGTCACAGCTCCTGTGTTGCACCAATCCCGGACCCGGGATACGGCCAAGCGGAAAACAGAGACAACCTTACAAATACAGAGACACAAAATACGAACTAAACTATCCTAACCTAATTGAAATTTAAATTTAAATTTAACTCCGGTAGGGCCCTCCACCCGGAACGGACTCACCGGACTAGCCCTTGGCGGCTTCGGCGTCGGAGCGGGCGGCACGCTGTCCTGGCGACTCTGGGTTCTCAACTCGGACGGCGCTGAAGCGGCGGCACGGGCGGTGCTAAGGCGGGGCACTGGCGGCGGCACTGGGCAGCGCGGAGGCGGTGTCCACGGATCGGCACCGAAGCGGCGGCACTGGGCAGCGCGGAGGCGGTGTCCACGGAACGGCACTGAAGCGGCGGCACTGGCGGTGCTAAGGTGGCGTGGGCGGCGGCGCTGCGGCTCCCAACTCGGACGGCGCTGAAGTGGCGGCACGGGCGGTACTAAGGCGGCACGCTGCGGCTCTGGGCTCTCAGCTCGGGCGGCGGCACTGGGCAGCGTGGAGGCGGTGTCCACGGATCGGCACTGAAGCGGCGCACTGGCGGTGCTAAGGTGGCGTGGGCGGCGGCGCTGCGGCTCCCAACTCGGACGGCGCTGAAGTGGCGGCACGGGCGGTACTAAGGCGGCACGCTGCGGCTCTGGGCTCTCAGCTCGGGCGGCGGCACTGGGCAGCGTGGAGGCGGTGTCCACGGATCGGCACTGAAGCGGCGCACTGGGCAGCGCGGAGGCGGTGTCCACGGATCGGCACGCGCGCACTCTCAGGCAGTCAACGGTTAAGATTTTTTTTGTCCTTTTCGAAAAATAACCTCGCGCCACGTTTCTTTCCAAATTTTGACTCCCGTTTTTTTCTCCTGCACCTCCCTTTATTGCCTCCGTTCCCAAAGCTCCACGCCGTTACCTTTTTTTCTTTCCTCCTTGCCCTTCCGAGAGAAAGGGTAAAAAACCTTTCTCTTAAGCCTGCTTTGAAAGTTCCCGGTTCGCTCAGCTTCCTCCTCCCCCCTGGGACCACCGATCCTGCCTCTCTCTATCGATACATCGATAGCCTCTTCCCCTCCGAACTCCGAAATGCAACACCACCCAAGGATTTGGAGAGGTGCTACCAGGAGCCGGCTCGACAAGATCATTGGGAGCATTTGAATGGCATCTCCAGCGCAGTTCCGAACGGTGCCCAACGCGGGGCCCACGTCTTACGGGAAGTACCTCTACCTTTTTGGTCTTGCCCATGTGTACTTTTTGCTCCCTCTTCCAGGTCATACGCGGATATCCTTGGCGTGATACACTCCCAAACTCCTGCCGTCCAGGTCCTCCAGTTCGTACGCGTTTCCGCCTATTGCCTTCACCACCCTGGCCTTCAGGAACTTCTTGGCGAACTTGGCATTTAACTGTTTCCCGAAGTCGCTGGGGACGAAGTTTCGGCGATATACCTCCTGACCTGGCCTTGCTGCAAACACTCTGGCTCTCTGATCGTAACGTCGACGACTGCGATCGTATGCGGATTCCAGACACTTTCGCACCTTCTCCTGTACCACTCGGAGCTTGTCGGCAGTCGGCATGCCTGCCAACTCGTGGTCACACAGCGACTGCAGCTTCCTGGCCAGTCGGTAGCTGGAACCATGCAGGAACATGTGGTGTCCGAAAAGTGTGAAAAACGGCGCTTCGCCCGTAGCCGAATGGACTGCGTTCCGGATGGCCACCTCGATCTCGGGAAGATAGGCATCCCAATCCCGATGGTCGTTATCCAAGAACCCTCGGATAGCCGCCAGTACGCTCCGGTTCACCCGTTCCGCTGCGTTGCTCTGTGGAGAGTATATCGGAGTCTTCACGTGTCGGATCCCGAAGCTCTCCATGGACTCCTCGAAAATCCTCGACGTAAACTGTAGTCCATTGTCCGAGTGTACGATTTCTGGCACCCCGAACTTGTAGAAGACCTCATTGATGAGGAAATCCACGACGTTCGAGGCTGTCGCTTCCCTCATGGCCTTCAGGAATGTGTACTTTGAAAAATGGTCCACCACGATAAAGACCCAGGCGTGTCCTTTCCTCGACCTCGGGTACTTGCCCAGGAAGTCGATGTACAACTTCTGGAATGGCCGCTCTGTCTGCACTCGCTCGCCGATCCCGACCATCATCCGGTGATTCGGTGCCTTCGATTCCTTACAGACCTGGCATCTTCGGACAAATTCCCGCACCTGCAGTACCATCCCAGGCCAGTAGAACTGCCGCCGAAGGATCTCCAGGGTCTTCCCCATTCCGCCGTGAGCAGCCTTTGGGTCTGAATGGGCTCGCTCAACCAGGCTGTGGGTCAGACTCTGCGGTATCCAGAGCTTCCATGTCGATCCGTCCACCTCGTCGTCCACAGTTGCTAGGGAGGTTCGCTTGAATATGAGTCCGTCTTCAATCCTAAGATCCGGTAAGTTGTCCTTGTTTTCCAGAATCTCTCGGACTAACTCCTTATATTCGTCTCCAGCAAACTCGGTGGTCTCAAAACCCAGCAACTTGGTCGGGTCCACTGCGATCTCGTCCACGCATCGCGAAAGCGTGTCTGCCACCACGTTCTCGCTGCCTTTCCGGTGTTCGATCTTAAAGTTGAAGCCCTGGAGCTGCAGAGACCACCTGGCCAGGCGTCCCGACAGATCCTTCATGGACATCAACCATTTCAGGCTGGCGTGATCGGTGATGCAGGTAAACGGCATGCCTTCTACATAGGGCCGGAACTTGCGGATCGCCAGGAGAGCAGCAAGACACTCTTTCTCGGTGACTGTGTAATTCACCTGGTGCCTGTTCATTTTCGCCGAGAAGAAGGCAATCGGCTGCTCTTGGTCCTCCTCGTTCTTTTGGAACAGAACTGCCCCAACTCCGACGTGCGATGCGTCACACTGGATGTAGAAGTGCCGCTGGAAGTCCGCGTGCACCAGCACTGGTGCCGTGGTTAATGCCACCTTTAACGCTTCTACAGCCTGCCGCGCTTCCGGACTCAAGGAAAACTTGTTCCCAGTCTTCTTGAGGGATTCGGTTAGCGGCGCTGCCAGCGTCGCGAAATTCCTGACGAAACGTCGATACCAGCCAGCGGTACCCAGGAACGCGCGCACCTCCTTCATCGACCTCGGCTCCGGCATCCTCCTGATTGCTGCCACTCGACCGGGATCCATGCGCAGACGACCTCCACCTACGACAAAACCTAAGTACGTCAAGGACTTGAAGCAGAATTTTGATTTTTTTAGGCCGATGGTTAATCCTGCTTCTTTTAGGCATTCAGCGACCCGTCGTAGGTACCGGAAGTGCGTCTTTATGTCCGGGGCCAGTACGAGCAGATCGTCCAGGTATACGAACACATTGGATCGGATCTCGGCTGGGATTACTCTGTCCATGAGTCTCACCAACCTCTGTGCCGCATTACAGAGACCGAACGGCATCACCCTGAACTGGTAGAGGGGCCGACCAGGCACCGTGAACGCCGTCAACTCCTTGCTTTTCTCGTCCAGTTCGATCTGCCAGAACGCGAATTTCAAATCCACACTGGAGATGAAGTGGGTTTGATCGATTCTGGACAGGATTCCATCGATACTAGGCAAGGGGTAAGCGTCCTTGACGGTCACGTCGTTCAGTTTCCTGGCGTCTAGGCAGAACCTATCCTTTCCAGGCTTCGACACGACTGTCGTCCGGTTGCTCCAAGGACTCTTGCTCTCCTCGATGACTCCCAGGGCTAGCATTTTGTCGACCTCGTCCTCGACCACCTTCTGCTTCGCCGGAGACATCGGATAGGGCCGGTCTTTAAAAACCTTCGCGCCTGCCACTAGCTCGATGGTGTGCTTTTCCAGTCCAGTGGTACCCAAGCCGTCCTTCTCGAAGGTGAGAAACACCTTCTTGATGTCTTCGAGCTCCCGGGTCTCGGCTTCAGATAGTGTCCAGGATTCCGGGTCCGCCTTCTCCTCGTCGTCTTCCTCCTGGTCGGCGTAATGTTCCATTTCCCTAGCGTGAATTTCCTCGGCCTTCACGCCCTGCACCGAGCAATTTCCCACTACAGCCGGGGCCAGTTCAAATGTTCGCCAAAAATCGACGCCGAGGTATGCTGCCTGCTCCAAGTACGGGCACAAATAGAAGAGGATATACTCTACCCTTCCTTTGTATTCTACAGGTACCTTGATCCGACCGATGATCGACCGATCTTCGCCTGCAGCTGTTCGTAGCACCGAGAAATACCTCTGCACGGGGACACCCAACGCGTCCACCAGCTGCCTGCTGCCTTTTTCGAGCAGACTGACACTCGCTCCGGTGTCTAACAGCCCAGTCAGCTGCTGGCCTAAAATGGTTATTTGGGCGAAAGGCCTGGGATCGTGGGTGTCACCCCGCTTGACGGCCGCAACGACTTCTCTCCGCTTCTCCTGGCGTTTCTTAAAGCGATTTCGGGCCTTCAAGACAGTTCTGGATACCTTGCGCATACCGCTTATCTGGTGCTGCTCGAAAATCCGGTTTCTTACTTCTAAATACCGTCGCATGCGCTCTTCAGGGGGTAAATATCTTAACCTATCCATATTATTACTCTTATTTAATATTTGTTTATTTCGGGCTCTTTTATTTGGCGGTGTTCCTCGCTGGGCGTGATCCTCCCGCCTTTGGATCGCGCAGCCATCCGTTTCCCGCACAATTCGGGCATTTCGGCGCAACAACGTCCGCTTTTCCACAGCGGAAACAAAAAACCTTGGTCAGCTCCTTCTCGCAATCCCGGAAACCATGGTCCATGGCTCCACAATTCCAGCAGCCAGCCCGGAAAGGATTTCGAGGCCGCTCCCGGACTTCCTGCACTTGCAATGGTTGCTCGTCTTCATCCTCCTCCTCCGGCTCTGGAGCAAACGCCTCACTGACTCGGTTCCGTTCCGCTCCTTGGTAGCGCGTTGGTGGCAGGAATTGGGTCCGGCTTTTGCGTCCGAAACTACGCTCCACCTCAAGGCTCTCTTGCCGCAGCTCATCGACGGTGAGTAGCTCCATGGCATATACGAAGCGAGCAATTCCCTCTCTTAAACCCCTTTTCATCACCTTTACCAGGTGGCGCTCCGGCATTGGCTTCCTCAGGCGGGAAGCAAGGGTTTGCATCGCGTGCAGATAATCATCGACACTCTCCCCGGACTGCTGCTCCCGCTGCAAAAGTTGATGCATCCGTTGATGCTCCGTCTCATGGCTCTGGAACCTATCGATCAGCGCTCGGCGCAGCTGATGCCAACTGTCCAGTCGGTGCTGCTGCACGTGGATCCAAAACCACTCCAACGCCCTGCCCGTCAGCAACGTGTGGAAGTTACGCATCACTTCGGCCCACGAGCAACGAGATTGCCTCTGGAGATACTCCAAGCGGAACAGGAAGCCTTCGATGTGGTTCCGCTCGTCCTCACCGCTAAATGAGATGTTCCACCTATCCACCCTGGTGCCATGGGAACTGTCTCCCGCGTTCCAGTTGACATACATCCGTTCGTCACGGAAATCGCCAGCTCGGCGGTCCTCGACACGCCAGTTCCGACCAACGCAGTCATCTCTACGCATTTCCTCAGTCTCGGTGGAACCGTCTGGACTGTTGAAAAAGCTCTCGGCTGGATCGGGTGCTCTCCGGGGTGGCTTCGGTGGGACTCGTGGAGTCGGCCGCGTCTCTTGCCAGGCAGCCGTCTGCCCTTGCTTGAGTATAGCTCCGCGAGCGTCGTATACAGCTTCCCTCGATCGTCCAAATGGCGGTGGCTGCTGCTGTTGACGGTGTTGTGGTCCTGCCGTCATCGGCTGCTGCTGTTGACGGTGTTGTGGTCCTGCCGTCATCGGTTGCTGCTGTTGACGGTGTTGTGGTCCTGCCGTCATCGGTTGCTGCTCCGCGCTCCCTCCTGGAACGTGTTGCGGCTTTGTGGAGGGTCTCAGTACCTCGTTCATTAATTGCATCATTTCCAGAAAACCGGCCCGCATCTCGTCCCGCAAGCTCTGGCTAATCCCAGCTTCTTGGGACTTGCGATACGTTTCTGCAGCCTGAGCCAGGGCAAGGTTCACCGCCGACTTGGCTGTGGAATCTACGGGCGGCTTCTGGGAATGTACCGAACGCTGAGCGGGATCCATCTCTACCAGGTGTTCAGCTGCTGCCCCGATCGCATCGAAGTCTAGCTGTTTTGGATGGACATGCTCCTCCGGTGGCCGCTCCTGTCGCCGAGATGGGGGTGTCCTCTGCAATCCCATTGAGGCCCGCGGCGGCGCGAACCCAACAGCACCCTCCCCATCCGTGGACCACAACTCCTCTTCCTGGGCTGAAGGACCCTTCGACCTGAGCTGATAATTGTTTCCCTTGTTCCCTTCCATAATCCAATTTCATTAATTCCTAACAGCTAACGGTTTGATTCTTACTAAATAAATATCTCAACGTAAATAAATCCGCAGGCAACAAATAAATAATTCAGTAGGAAATTAATTTAATAAATAAATAGACAATTAAATAAATAAATAAATAGACAATTAAATAAATAAATAAATAGACAATTAAATAAATAAATAAATAATAGAAATAAATAACCAGTCGGTCAGAAAATTATTTCTGCAATATCCACAATTAATTATTAATATTTTCTTTAATTTCAGGGGAGATGGCCGATCAACCGCCGGTGGACTCCGCACCAGATACTTGCGTCTTCAATTGTCCCGTGTCGTCCCTAATCCGGCCATTCGTCAACTGGGCTAACTTTCAGCTGGGCTGAAAGTCGCCAGTTAAGGACATGGGCCTTCAGCAGTATCCCGTAGGATTTTCCTTGATGGCTGGGACTCCGAAGCTCTGATTGTGGTGGTCGTGCAGCGCGCAGTGAGACCTGCGGGTCACGACTTCACCAACAGGATGATACCAGGAAGCCCCTTCCACCAGGAAAACCCAAGGATCTGCACAAATTTACATTACATGGAAAACAAACATCTTTACGTTAAATTAAATAAACAACATTTATTACTTTCGCCTAAATTATCTCACAATTGTTCTAATCGCGTGCTTCATGCACGGATCTGTGGGCGAGGAATGCAAATCCGTCGTTTCCACGCCCGGATGTCATCCCCTTGCCACAGCAGAACCCTTGCGTCTACAGGAGCAATTGCCCGTCCTTCTGGCGGAGCAAGCCTCCCGTCTTTCGGTGAAAGAAAACAAAAAACAACACGTACGCCTGGGCCGCCAGTCCCCGGTCCTCGGTGCAGTTGCAGGCCGTCAATATAGGCCATGCAAGCCACCGATTGCAGGGGCTGGATGCCCTGGGACGCGACCTTACGAGACATCGTCATTCCGCTAAACTCTTATTTGTTTTTTTGAAAAGTTGGGCGCCATATTGTTACGGAACTGCTTTCTTGGGCAACGCCGGGCTAGCTCAGGAGGCCCAGGGCTGGGTTCGACCCAATGCCCGCAGTCCGCACAATAAAATATCGGACAATTCGGACTCTCATCACTGACAAAACTACCATCCCTAAACACAAAACAAAAGTAAACAAACGACAAATATACACTGACGACACTGCCGGAACAAATTGGTGGCATTGGTGTTATCGCCACAACGCACCCACCCATCCTGTGATGCCTCCTGAGTGTCTCGGGCATCACCCATCTCCGGCGGACCGGAGCCTATTCCAGGCGGTCTGGCGACCGGCCCATCTCCCCCCAGGTATTTACTCTACTCCATTTTTATGCCCTTGCAGGGTATTATAATTTCAGTCAGAAGTTTGCAACGCAGTGAAGGAGGCACCTCCGACTATATAAAGTATATATATTCTTGATCAGGATCAACAGCCGAGTCGATCTAGCCATGTCCGTCTGTCCGTCTGTCCGTCTGTCCGTCTGTCCGTTTCTACGCAAACTAGTCTCTCAGTTTTGAAGCTATCTGAATGAAACTTTGCAGTTAGTCTTCTATATACTCTCACTCGTATATATGTCGGAACGGGCCGGATCGGACAACTATATCATATAGCTGTCATAGGAATGATCGGAAAAGTTTTACAAAAAAAATTATAAAATTTTTAGTTTTCAACAGAATTTGATCAAATTTGAGATATAGCCATATTATTCTACAATTTTGTGTAAAATTTTATGAAAATCGGACGACTATATCATATAGCTCCCATAGGAACGATCGAGAAATTAATTCAATTAATAAGTATAACATTTTCAGTTTTCAACAGATTTTCATCAAATTTGAGATATAGCCGTTTCATATTATTCTACAATTTTGTGTAAAATTTTATGAAAATCGGACTAATATATCATATAGCTCCCATAGGAACGATCGAGAAATTTAAGAGGAATGAGAATGGCGGTGGCTGTTGTCGGAAGACTGACAATCGCGGTGGCGATAACATTTTTAGTTTTCAACAGAATTTAATCAAATTTGAGATATAGCCATTTCATATTATTCTAAAATTTTGTGTAAAATTTTATGAAAATCAAACGACTATATCATATAGCTCCCATAGGAACGATCGAGAAATTAATACAATTAAATTTATAACTTTTTTAGTTTTCAGCTGATTTCCATCAAATTTGAGGTATAGCCATTTTATATAAGTCTTAAATTTGTGGCAAATTTCATAAAAATCGGACGACTATATCATATAGGTGCCATACAAACGATCGTTTGATGTAGAGGAAAAATGCAAATCTGTGGCTGTAAAACTGCAAATATAATATGTATAGGTGAATGAAATGAAAGCAGGTATTACTTCATTGTATTTTAACACAAATATATATAATTTATATTGTATGGATTCCTATTCATAGAAGTTCTATCTGCAAGGGTATATAAACTTCGGCGTGCCGAAGTTAGCTTCCTTTCTTGTTATTTGTATTATTTATTTTATATAAACGTTCCTTGTAATATTAATATCTCCTTTTATAGGTGGTATTTCTCCACTCCCGGCGAGAGCGTGGCCCTAGCCAGGGATGCGCTTGCGCCAAGGCTGCGATGTTGGGGACTTAAGAAGCTAGCGGAGGAGAAGCACCTTAAAACATTTGGCCTCAAACGGCCCCACGACAATTACTCCCTCTTTAGGGTCCCTAATCCCTGCTGGAGCTCCAAGAGAAATCTAGGGACAGGGGTTCACCACCAAAAGAAAACAAAACAAAAGGTCAAGGAAACACCATTACCGGGCTTCTTCCCCGTTCCCCCCTTTGGTCACAGCTCCTGTGTTGCACCAATCCCGGACCCGGGATACGGCCAAGCGGAAAACAGAGACAACCTTACAAATACAGAGACACAAAATACGAACTAAACTATCCTAACCTAATTGAAATTTAAATTTAAATTTAACTCCGGTAGGGCCCTCCACCCGGAACGGACTCACCGGACTAGCCCTTGGCGGCTTCGGCGTCGGAGCGGGCGGCACGCTGTCCTGGCGACTCTGGGTTCTCAACTCGGACGGCGCTGAAGCGGCGGCACGGGCGGTGCTAAGGCGGGGCACTGGCGGCGGCACTGGGCAGCGCGGAGGCGGTGTCCACGGATCGGCACCGAAGCGGCGGCACTGGGCAGCGCGGAGGCGGTGTCCACGGAACGGCACTGAAGCGGCGGCACTGGCGGTGCTAAGGTGGCGTGGGCGGCGGCGCTGCGGCTCCCAACTCGGACGGCGCTGAAGTGGCGGCACGGGCGGTACTAAGGCGGCACGCTGCGGCTCTGGGCTCTCAGCTCGGGCGGCGGCACTGGGCAGCGTGGAGGCGGTGTCCACGGATCGGCACTGAAGCGGCGCACTGGCGGTGCTAAGGTGGCGTGGGCGGCGGCGCTGCGGCTCCCAACTCGGACGGCGCTGAAGTGGCGGCACGGGCGGTACTAAGGCGGCACGCTGCGGCTCTGGGCTCTCAGCTCGGGCGGCGGCACTGGGCAGCGTGGAGGCGGTGTCCACGGATCGGCACTGAAGCGGCGCACTGGGCAGCGCGGAGGCGGTGTCCACGGATCGGCACGCGCGCACTCTCAGGCAGTCAACGGTTAAGATTTTTTTTGTCCTTTTCGAAAAATAACCTCGCGCCACGTTTCTTTCCAAATTTTGACTCCCGTTTTTTTTCTCCTGCACCTCCCTTTATTGCCTCCGTTCCCAAAGCTCCACGCCGTTACCTTTTTTTCTTTCCTCCTTGCCCTTCCGAGAGAAAGGGTAAAAAACCTTTCTCTTAAGCCTGCTTTGAAAGTTCCCGGTTCGCTCAGCTTCCTCCTCCCCCCTGGGACCACCGATCCTGCCTCTCTCTATCGATACATCGATAGCCTCTTCCCCTCCGAACTCCGAAATGCAACAAATACTAAAGGAATAAAGGATCAAGTATTTCTAATTGGTGCGTGGAAATTGAGCTGACTCAACAAGTCAGCACTTTCCACTTCACCATGAATGAGATTATAGAAAAAGGTAATGCCAAGCACAGTTCTCTGGTTGGCTAAGGATGGTAAGTTAATTAGGAGGAGTCTATTAATCCCGAAAAAAAGTTCTTTTGAACCGACTTTATGCATTTACTATGCACGCCGTACTGAGGGCTCCAAACGCAGCATCCATATTCTAAGATAGGACGAACTAAAAAGGTATTAGGATTAAGTAACATAGGGGTCATTGAATTCCTTCGACCACCGTTTAATAAATCCAAGCACACCCCTGGCTCTATTCACCATAGACGAAATATGATTAATAAAGTCAAGTTTTGGGTTCAAGGGGACGTCCAATTCATCAACAGAATTAATTCTTTCCAAGGAGCAACAGTTCAGCAAGTAAGTAGAAACGAAACGAGTGAATATCATTTGCTTGCATTTAGAGCGGTTTAATAAGTTTACATGGCGCCATGTTTGAAAATGATTAAGATCTGTTTGCAAGTCCGACTGGCA